CCTTCTTCCTAGAGGGTGTAAGTGAGGGAAGTATTACAGCCTCCACTCTATGCATGGGCTTATCAGCAAGGGCTCACTGTCCCTCTTCACCCCAATTCTAATCATGGTTACCAGCTCCAAGCACTCACCATGTCCCTGGCACGGTCTGAGCACTCTCTGTACAGGTGAGTTCATGTAATCCGCACAATCCTCACCATAACCCTCTATCTTCAACTCCATTTACAAGGGAGAAACTGAGCCACAGAGAGGTTCAGTAACATGGTGGAGACCACCCAGCTAGGAAGGGGGAAAGCCAGGATCAAACCCAGGGAGTCTAGCTCCAGAAGCCAGGTTTTGTTAAACCTCTATGCCATCCTGCCTCTTGAGTGGAAGGGAGAGATAGAGCAATGTAGTCTAGGTGCTGGAAGAGAAGACAGGAACAGAGCAGTGAGGTCTAGGAGCAGGGAGAGAAAGAGTTTGCATTCTAGCAGGGGACACAGTCAACAACCAACACAAGGTCATGGACAACAGCTACAAAGAAAAGGAGGAGTGACCTTCCAAACACTGACCTGGATGGTGGTTATACGAATGTACACACAGGTTAAAGTTTATCAAGCTGGATGGTGGATGAGTGCACTCTATTCACTTGTTGTTATGTGCTGTCGAGTCGGACCCGACTCACAGCAACCCCTCCTTGGGTTTCCAAGGCAGTATCACTACGGAAGTAGATTGCCCCATCTTCCCTCCGAAGAGTGGCTGGTGGGTTTGAACTGCCAGCTTTCTGGTTAGCAGTGAAGTGCCTTAGGGCACTACACTTAGCTCTCACATATTATAACTCAAATGAAAAATGAACCAGGAAATAGTAAACAGATGGTGGGAGCCAGGCCTCTCACTGTTGGCATGGAGAGGTTACAGATAAGCAAGGGGAGGAAGCAAAAATGATCCACCATGTGGTGAGGGATCAGTTGGAGACAAGGAGATCCACTCATATTTAGCTCAACATAAATACAGATGGAAACGCACAGAAATTACAGATATATGTATTTACACAAAGGGTGGATGAAGCAAACAGTTTGCACTCAATTACTAACTGGAAGGTTGGTGTTCTGAACCCACCCAGCAACTCTGCAGAACAAAGTCTTGGCCTACAGCTTCTGTAAAGATTCCCAAAGTCTGACCAAACACACTGCCATCGAGTCAGTTCCAACTCCTAACAACCATACAGGACAAAGGAGAGCTGCCCCCGTTAAGATTCCCAAGGCTGTAATACGAAAGCAGATTGCATTTCTCCCACAGAGCAGCTGGTGGGTTCAAACCACTGACCTTTCTTTGAGTTAGCAAATACTGCTTAACCACTGCACCACCAGGGCTCCTCTATAAAGATTACGGCCAGGGAAACTCTGTGGAGCACTTCTATACTCTTGTCACCTATAGGGTCACCCTGAGTTGGAATTCACACAAGTTGTTGTTGTTGTATGCCATCAAGTCGGATCCAACTCATAGCGACCCCTCCTTGGGTTTCCCAGGCAGTATCACTACAGAAGTAGATTGCCCAACCTTCCTTCCGAAGAGTGGCTGGTGGGTTTGAACCGCCAGCCGTCTGGTTTGCAGTCAAGTGCCTAGTTAGTATACATACATAAATTTCCTTGCTCTGTCACCTGAAAGGGCCAAGAAACAAGACACCAATAGCAACAAGCATACCCAGCACCCAGTTCTTGGTTTTGAATAGGTATCAGTCTCCAAGAAAAGGGTCCAGAGTTCCTTGCAGAAAGGACCGATCCTAGGAGTGAAACAGGAAATACAGAATAAACCTGCCTGGAGCCATGTGTCATGTTACAGGGTAAGAAAATGCTCAAATAAATAAACCCCCCAAGACTAGGCTAACTGGTCAGACAGAGACTGGTGGAACCCCCGAGGCTATGGCCCTTGGTCATCCTTCAGACCTGGACCTGAATTCACTCCAGTGGCTCTATTTTCAGCCAAACAGACAAGTCTACAAGGTGAGCACTAGGGAGGTGCACACTTCGTGGAGCAATCAAGCATCTGAGATCAGAAGGGCAGCATCTGCCTAAGGACAAAGTTCAGAGAGCATGAAGGGTCAGGAAGGGAGGAGGAAGGGAAAGGAGAGAGACAGGGAAGAAGTGAAATGAATAATGTGACAATGAGTGGATGACATTCAATGACATGAAACAAAATCATGTGGATTACTGAATGGAAAAGTGATTCGCTCTGTAAACTTCCACCCAAGTCACAATAAAAAGTTAATAATAATGGGGGCACATTAAAAGGGAAAAAGAACCAACAGAAAGAGTTCCCCATGGCAAAAGCTACAATATGAACAGCAAAGTAACTCAGTAATTTTCTAATCATCCATGGGCCCATATTTATATAAAGGAGCTCTGGTGGTGTAGTGGATAAGGCATTTGGCTGCTAACCAGAAGGTCAACAGTTCAAACCCACCAGTCCCTCTGGGGAAGGTGGATGGGGTAATCTGCTTCCAAAAAGATTTACAGCCTCAGAAGCCCAATAGGGGTTGCTGAGTCAGAATCAAGGACAGTGAGTTTGGTTTTGGGTTTTTACATGACTGAAAGAATAAGTACATAAATGGAAGAGAACAAGAAAAATTTCCCTTGCAAAAGAATTCCAAGTAGTTCATGTAGTTTTTTCTCCTCAAGGAAATGCAGCATAAGTCTCTACTCCTGAAGTATGGGCTGCATATGTGACTTCCTTCCAAAAAGTGTAGTTTGGAAAGGAGATTAAAAAAAAGAATAATTTCACAACGGAGAAAGCTGACAAACTGCCTCACCAGGTGATCAAAGTCACCATCAACAGTGATCAGTCATGTTGACAGCATGTATACTTGATATGATGTGATGAAAAAGGCACTTTACCTCTGAGCTCTCTCCCCCCCATCTCCATAATCCCTGGCTAAAATGAGAACAACAAATCCCAGGGAGGAAGTCCCTCGATTTAGTTCTGCTCCGCCTCGTACTAACCCTGAGACTCTGGTTCACTTGGAACCTCAGCTCACTCAGCTGCGAAGCAGGAAGGGCACCTCTTACTTGTAAGCCCACTGTCCTTGTCATTGTTGGCTGCCACCCCCCTCGTGGTGACCCCATTCCCAACAGAACGAAACGCTGTCTGCTCCTGTGCCCTCCCCATGTTGAGATGTGAAGCAGACCTTGCAATCCACAGGGTTTTCACTTTTCAAAGTCATCACCAGGCCTTTCCTCTCTTAGTCTGGAAACTCTGATGAAACCTGTTTGACATCCTCGCAGCACGCAAGCCTCCAATGGCACGATGTGTGGTGGCTGCGTGTGGGGTGTACTGGCCAGGACTTGAACCCGGGCCTCCAGCATGAAAGGTGAGAATTCCATTGGGAGCCACCACTGTCTCATCATAAAGGGTTCAAGGAGTAAGTTCCCGGAGCAAGCACTGGCCTTCGTAAATACTTCCAGTGAGTGTTAGCATTGTTAAGAAAAGGCCAAGGTGGGGGAAAGATCTAATCCAGCAGCCTGTCTTACAGACTAAAAAACAGAGAGGTGGCCCCTGAACGTGTCACTGGTCCAAGCCCCCACGGGAAAGTGAACAGCAGAGCAAGGTCAAGGAGCACTTCTCCGCTCTGCCATGCTTCCGGCCAGGCCACATTCAGTTCTGAACACAGCCTCACAGCACACGATCCCTCACCAGCGATGACTCAAAGCCCCTCGACAGGCAGGTGATTTCCTTGCTCAAAACTCCCCCGTGGTTCTCTTCACCTTTTTTCACCATGGAGGCGTTGAAACCTCGCCCACCTGGTGTCCTGGGCTGGATGGGGCTGGGATGACCACGCAGTGGCTCTGACTCAGCCCATCCTCCCAACTCCGCTCCCGCAGGCGGAGCACTGCCCACGCACCCAGCCAGCCTGGCCTCCTCAGAACTCTCTCCACCCATGCTCCTGCCCATGTCCCCCAGGGCCCTGCCCACCCTCTATCACCCAGGTCAGGCACAGCAGCGGCCGGCTCCCCCCATCCCAGGGTAGAGCCTGGACCACCTAAGCCTCATTTTTGCCTCAAATGACTTGCTATCTTACAAAAATCCTCAAGATGCATCTTCATTTCCGACCCCTTTAGGGAGGCCCTTTTTGTGGCATCTGCTGGCTGGCTAGACTGAAACCTCCTCCTGGGTAGCGGGGGTAACAAACCTCTCTCTGGCCCTCCCCGTGCCTCCCTCCCCTCTGCTGAACCCACAGCCCAGAGCAGGCACTCAAAGGCTGGTGGAAGGAATAAATACATCTTGGTACAACCATTAAGCTTGGAGAGGAGGGTTTTCATCAAGCAAAGATATGAAAAATGTTCCAGTCACTCATTTTTAAAAGGACCCTGAAGGAAAAGAGGGAACAGCTGCTTCCTTTCCGGAAGTCCCATAAAAATCTCCCTCACACAGACCCAATGAAGAGTGATGACCTCTTCACTGAAGATTTTGGGAGTCTAACCTAGGATCCTGAATAAAACAGAAACTATACTTGCCCTCCTTTGGTACGTGTCCTCCCCCAAATGCAAACACTAGCCTCAACACCCCAGAAAGCCCTACACCCCCCCTCTTTGATCTCTAATCCACAATCACCGTTTTCTAACAACATGGGCCAACTCGGCAATTCCAAAGAGGCCTGTTATTAAAATCATGAAACCAGCAGCGGCTGGAGACTCCAGTCCCTTCCAGAACATGTTTTATTAAAATTCCGATTGGTGAAAGTCACACCATGAAGAGGTGACCAGCGTCCTCAGCAATGACACACACGGAAAATTTACCATCGGTCGGACTACCGACAGGTCGGTGCACCTACAAAAACACACCAAGGAAAGAAAACCAAAAGGAGGCAGTCTCTCATAAATTAGGATCATCCATCAAAGGTTCCATCTCTCAAAACCGACACGTGCTGCTACGATGGCGCGCAGAGCTGCACTGCACTGCTCTGTGACAACAAAAAATTCCAATTTCCTCCTCTGCTCTGGAACAGACAATGCAAGATTTTTACTCACCTTTGGAGCGAGTAGAGATATCCATGCCCTCTACCACCTCCTGTTCTGTTTTTATTTCCTCTTCAGCCAAGCTGAAATAGAGCAAATTATGTTCATGTTTAGGGAGGCTAAAAACTTGCCCCATGGGGCAGCTGTTTACAAGTTCCAACAGCAAACCCACCTAGCAGACAATCCCCCATCCTTACACAGAGGCAAAGCAAAGAAACCCACACGTGATGTCACCCAAGGAAGAAAACTCCGAAAGGAGCTTCTGTAAACACTAGGTTGTTCTCTTTTTCAAGTCAAATTACTATTCCAATTTGTCATGGGCAGTGGGGGGAGCATTTTTTAGACACACGATTACCGTCTCCCACCATGGACCAATGAGCACCCATCCTTAGAGTAAACAACTTTCTAAGTGCTGACACTGGGTTCAAAGGCAGGCAGGTTGGAGGTGCTTCATAGAGTGTACCCAGAGTTCTGATCTCTGACTTCTGCGAGACAAAAGAGCACTTTCCAGACCTCCCCTCTATTGCCACCCAATGAAGCAAGAACAGGAAATACATATATAGGTTAAATTACAAACTAGAAAAATATGTCCAGGCTAGAAGCAAAAGGCCTGGTCCCAAAACAGTCAAATGACCAGCATTTAAACCGGGAATTAAGGACTGGGGTTTCCACACTCCCACCCCTCGGCATTTCCTCTCTGCAGTGGTCCAGCTTACAGAAGACATTCAGCACTCTTTTGAGCTGTGACTAATTACCCTCCCCCCACCACAAAAGTAGAATCAGGAAAGATTATTTAATAGACACAGGCTGGGGGAGGGGGGCGCGGCCAGGGAACTCAGGCCTCTTCTCTGGGTACGTCTCGCCATCCAGAACCTTCTTTCTCTCTTTCTCTCTCTGCTGGAACTCCGGTTAAGCAGAGAACAGGGCATTTCAGATGTCTTCCCCCACAAGCGTGTACTTCGCAAGCCAAACCAAAGAAGAAATGATGGTGCCAATTGTTTGAGGTGCTAGAACCTTCCAAACATTCAGAATGATAGTGGAGCGGTAAGAATCTGAATGATTACTGTAATGCAATCCCGGCGGACTGTGGTTCAGCAAGAATGGGTGCATCATCAGTGGACAGGGCTGGAATTTTCCATTTGGAAGTTGCCAGACCAGGACAGGAAGGAAGCTGGGGAGCAGACGAAGGCTCGGAACGTCCCGTCTATTGTGTTCCGTGGTCTGGGACTATGGAAGACAAGACAAGGCAAAAGACGAGTCCAAGATGGCAACCTTCAGGCCTGGAACTCCAGATACTATGGAGTCAAATTGTGTTTGAGAGAGTTCGTATTTGTTGTTCATGGGAGATGGGAGATTCAGGATGGGAACTACGTGGAAAAAGATTAGAGCTCCAAATGAAATTGTAAGAGCTTGGAGGCTTCTGACCTAACCAAACAAACAAACAAAAAAAAAAAAACCCAAACTCACTGCCCGTCGGGTTGATTTGACTCACAGCAACCCCTCCTTGGGTTTCCAAGGCGGTAACTCTACAGAAGTAGATTGCCCAATCTTCCTTCGGAGGAGTGGCTGGTGGGTTTGAACCGCCAGCCTTCTAGTTAGCAGTCAAATGCCTTAGGCACTAAGCCACCAGAGCTCCCTACCAGAAAGCAAGGTCATTTGGGTTTAAATCTGAATATTAACACCTTTAGTTCTCTATGCTGAACTCCTTTTACAAGTCCATTTACACTGCACCTATAGAACTGCCAGTAAACACAAAGTACAAAACAACTGAAACGTTGTCAGAAAAGATTTTCCTCTCAAGCAAGCAGCCTGCTAAACTTAAACACATCACTAGCATGCATTAACACAACAGTCATTTGTTGAAGGTGATTTGGGCACGAACAGTACTCCAAGAGGCAAATGTTCTCTACTGAAAAATATACCCTGCTTGGAACACACACAGGTTGTCCAAATGGATGCCGTTGACGGTTTCTTTCGGGAATGTATTTTACCAAACAGTCCCATGCAGCCCTCAGAGATGGGGAGATGGTTAACTTCAAAAGAACCAATAGCAACCTTGATCTTTCCAGCAACTAGAATTCTGTTTCCCTCTCTAGCATGAATGTGAAATCCTAAACTTCTTGAAATCAATCTCATATTTTGAGTGATAGAAAAAACACCAATCTGGGATCCACCCAAAATGCAGGGTGGTGAGAGAAACAATTATGCATCACAGAGCCAAAAAACCCACTTGAAGGTTTCTGCAGCGACGGAAAACATTCAAAGGTGTATTGATCACGGAGGAGGGTTGCATTCAAGAACAATTATTGGGCTTGTAACAGCCTAAAGGAGCTGAATACTTCAGGCAGGAATGCCGCTGAGAGGTTAAGAAAATGCAAACTAGTTATGGGGGTGGCTGTTTGCTGCAGAATTTAAGATCATCAATTCAGAAGCAGGAAAGGGCGAAAAAAGTTAAGCTGTTTTATCTTTCCAAGTATTACAAGTGGGCACGATAATCACCTAACTTTAGCAATAGCACCACCAGCTTTAGCCAAGGATTTCGAGCCCAACAATTTAAGAAAACCATCTTTTTCACAGATCAGCAAACCATCCTTTCAAAAGAAACCCACATGTATGCACACATACACACACACACACACAAACAATAACTTGCATTTGACTAAAAAAAATTTCTGTGCATTAAAAGGGTGGGGGTGGGGGGCGACTGACACTTCATTTACAAAAGCAAAGACCAGAATGCAAAATTTGTCGTTTTGACTAGCCACATCTAAAGGGACTTCCTTTTTCTACACCACTGATCTGGGGGATTTTTCCCCCTCCCTGCTTAATGTTAAACGCTAGAATGCTATGGGGGGGTGTGCTATGAATCTTACATCAAGAGTGGTAGGAAGAAAAGACTTGAATTTGTCTGAATGCCACACAGATCTCGGTCAATTTAGATTAAGAACTGCTCAGTCATTTGGAGGTAAAAACAGTCAAATGACAGTAATTGCTAAAAAGCAAAGGCAGCAGCGTTTGGAGGAAAATACTTGGAACTCCTGTGCTGAACATATTCAAGTCCTCAAAAACATACCGCATCCTCCCTTCCATATCTGCTAGCCTCCAGCAATCCAGATGATCATTTAAAATCAAAAACAATGGAGAACAACCCCTTGTTTCAAACTGACATTACCTTAAAAAAAAAAGTCAGCTGGGGAGATTGCCCCCACCCCCCGCCAGGAAAGGGTGAAGTTAGCTGAAAACCAAACAGCCTTCCATCCCAAGAGGAAAATGCACCATCAACTAGTTGTACACATTGTATGTTTTCCCCCACCCTCACCTCTTACACTTACATTTACCCTAAGTAACTTGCCTATGGATTTAAGAAACTGGACACATTGCAGGCAATTCAAAGAAGAAACAACAGCCCCTGCAAACACAATCAAGCCCACCCCAGTTCCAGAAGGAATAAAAGATTTCTCCCCCCAAAGCCTGAGCAAGGAAACCTATGCTTACTTCTTAACCCGCAGGCTCTGCAAAAGAGCGATTAAAAGTTGCGGATGAACTGCTACACATCCAGGATGTTTTAAGCCTTCTGATTATTAATTCTGAGGACTCCCAGAAATGCCATCCCCTCAACACTTCCAAGAGAGAGAGAGGCAGGAGAGAGAGCATCTAGTTTTGACGGCAAAATGCCTAGTACACAATGCCCAGATATTTCTTTTTCCCCAAGTGTCCCTACTGTCTTGACTTTTTACCAACAATATCTAACCCATCTAGAATACATAACCAACATGCACGAGACTCTGGTTCTCCAAACGAGGACCATCACACAGCAATCCAAAATCATGCATCATTCGGAAGGACTTTTCCTTCTGGTTTTCACTTTCAGTCAAAAGAATGCCAAACTGGTCCAGGCTGGAAGAAACATTTAATCCCCAAAACACATCTTCCTCTTCTAGATCACAAAATAGTGAACATCAAAATCAAAAACACAATGCAAACCATGCTTCCCTCAATCTGCAATTAATCTTTTTTTAAAATGGGGGGGGGGAATGGTTAGCAGAGCAGCTTTATATAAGCACTCACCTATCAGGCAGAGTCATCGGTAGCTAAGCTATTTATGCAGGATTCTTAAAATGGCGTCTGGCAACACTGCCTCATTCCTGTATTGAAGCTAAAATGGTAGCAGTTTGTTCAATAGGTCTAGCTGCTGTTTAAGCAGCTAGTTTCAAAGCCACCTTCCTAAATATCAGAACTAGGAAAAGCTCAACCAAAGGACACTAAGCCAACGTTTAGAAGCTTAAGGGGAAAAAAAAAAAAAAAAGAACTGCAATGTCAGGGGGAGTTTGTGAACTCACAGGCTCCTAAGGAAAAGTACTTTCTTTCAGATCCTGAGCCTTCAGTGAGGAGGGCCCCTTGCCCTCAAATTAGGTGGGTGGATAGTTAGGAATTATGCAGTCCTGTGACATAAACTGCAGACAGGCAGGCAGGTGTATCCTCAATACTCAAATGCTAAGGAAAGACAGGCTGGGGAGAGGGACCCAGCCCAGTCCTCCTTCTCGGGATATTCAGAGACCAGCATTGCATCCATACCAAATGTGCTTCGAGGGCAGCAGGCATCTGAAAAGCCAAGCTAAGGGCTGCATCCGGATGTGAGGCCAAACTAAAATAAAAAGGCTGTTAATATGCCTGAAAACGGCTACCAGGCACCCAGCCCTCCAAAGCAGCCAGTCCTAAGACAGTTAACATCAAGGAAAGACAATCCAAGTCTGCAGAGGAGAAAGACAAGGAAAACACTCACTTAACCAATACACAGGATATTCACAAATTAGAATTTTTTTTTTTTTAATCCACCCCCAACAGGGCTGTGAGAATGAACAATGGAGGTTTTGCAAAACCCGATTTCAGGGGCTGAACTAAGAGCCTAAGAGTGGATAATGCCATTTACTATTACAGGAGAAATAGGTCTGAAGACTGGCCTAGGACACTCCTGCTGGTGTTTCAAGGTGACCGTGTTTTAGCTCCAGGGGCGAAAGGAGGGCTTGGTGCCCACGGCTGTGCCAGGGCCAGAACAGGATCTTGGCGTCATGCCGGCCGGTAGGTAGGTAATCTTGATGAGGACCGACAGCCTGGCAGCGTTGCTAGCTGCAGAGACTGACATGGCTCCTGCCGGCTTGTTTGTCTGGAAGGAGAGCAAGGAGGAGGGGGAAGGGCAGTGGCAGCCTTAGCAACCCGAAGCCAAGGGTGAATCCTTACTTGGTGTTGCATTTTAAGGGCAACCAAGGGTATTCTAAACCTATTCCCTCATTAAATCTCTGCTGGGGGGAGGGGGTTTGCCCCACACAGGCATCTCTGCATATCTCTCTGTTTGTTTTGTCTTCCCAGGGTCAACAGATGCAAAACCAGATCTAGGTAGGGCTCCAAGTGCTGACAAGTGTTTGTCCCCTCTGCCACAGGAGTAAGAAGGGAAGACAAGGCAGAGACACCAAAGAGATCAGATATTTGAAGTGGTTGGGCTTTAAAAAAACCTACCTTTGCCTTCAAGGGTTTCTGGATTCCTGTCACCCCGCTTTTTTAAAAAGTGACTCATTTTCCCTCCCCCCTACTTAAGATCTGAAGCTGTTTCCCCACTGTTCTCCGGGGGAAAGAAAGAGGGAATGTTTTATTTCAAAGAAAACAGGTTGGGGGGCAGCTATTGTTTTCATCCCTAATTTATCATCCAAGAGGCTTCATTGTTTCTTCCTTTCTGACTCAAATCTTTGAACTGTTAATTATAAAAGTAACTGGACTTGGCTCCAGTGGGCTATGTTCAGGCTCAGCAATTAGAAAAACTCTGCAGAAAGTTTACTGAGTGATTATATATAATTAATTCCTAGTTACAGGCTGAACGCTGACCATTTTCTGGAGCTAATAAGAGCAGTTGCTTCCCCTCCCCCACATGAACGCCACTTAATTTCCCAAAGCAGAAAGTGAATCCATCCTGGAGGGTCTTGAAAAAAAAAGAGAGAGAGAGAGAGAGAGGAATCAAAAGCTCCAGTGTGTCTGTGTTTGTTCCCTGCAGCTGTGTATCCTCTTTGGGGACTAAGGAAGGAGAAGGGGAAAAAAAAAGCCAGCTTTCTGGTCCTCCCTCTGCAATTTACAAACGTGGCAGAGAGAACATTCTACCTTGATGTAAAAAGGACAGGGGGAGGGGAGTGCCCCAGGAATGTGGGAGGCTCTCTTCAGTTGGTAGATCTGCTTTTCCTAAAAGAAACAAAGATGGTAGAAATTTCCAGAAGGCCCATTCTTGGGGGCAGCCACTGCAATTGTCAATCTTTAACCTTTCCTCCAAGTCTATTGGTTCAAAAGCTGGAGAGAGGCACCCCATTGGGCTGCTCTGGGAGCCAGCACTGCTGTCCCTACCTAACCTAGCCCTGCTGCAATGCAGACGTTATTTTTGTTTGTTTGTTTCCCCCTTTAGTGCAAATGGAAAACAATGCCACTTTGAAGGCAATTAACTTTTTTACAGACTCATGCTTGGTGGTAGTCACAGGAGCAGAGAGAAGTGGCTAGCTTGGTCCAGAGCTGGGAACTAGCTGGAACTGCACTTCAGAAAACAGACCTCTGCTTTCCAAACCTGTGGGAGCCATTTTAATGCATGCTTTTGGAGGACAAATGCCTTGCCTTGTCCGTAAGTTTCCTTCCAGGCCAACAAACAGTATTATGCAAACGTTGAAGGCACCAAACCAGGAGTCTTGTGATTAGATATTGCTTCTGGGGAGGCCAGAGAACCTCAATATACGAGCTCCATTTACAGCAAGAAGATAAGAACAAAGAAAGGAGCTAAGTGTCTCAACTTACTTGTATGGGGGCAGCAACACTGCTCTGTTTCCAGTATTTCACATCATTAACTGCCTGCACTTTTACTTCAAGAAGCTGGCTTGCCTTACCCAGTCTTCTGTCAACTTAGAATTTGGTGCTTTTCTCATTAAATGAGTCTTTTTGCAACTGGGGGCTAAAAGGTGGGCTGCTGGACACTAATGTAAAAGAAAAAAGATTATTATCTCCATAAAGTTGGCATAACACAGCAACTGAATAGACTTCCAGTCACATTACAATGGTCCCCAAGCTGGAAATTTATGGAGTGACCTTCTAGGGAAATTCTGAAGGTAATGCTAAACAACCGTCTCCTTTTTTCACTCTTAAGTTTCAGCTAATGCTTCAAGCAACCAGGGAGAAAGTACAAAGCGAGAAAGAAATCCTAAGTAAAGCCAAGCGTTGTCTACTGATGTGTAAGGTCAGGCTTGGAAAAAGGCCGGAGTCTGTTGAGAGAGTCCTGAATCAAACCAAGTTTGGTGGTGGGTGGTATTTTCCCGCTACACGTAAGTATCCTAAAACATAAGTACTGACTGACCACCATCACCCCCCCACACACATACACACACCACCACCACCACCAGCTCCTGCCCCACCAATGTTTAAGGCTCTGTGACTCTAGGAACAAACACTTACATAACATTCACAAGCAGATCACCTACCCACAGTTCTTACATCCAAACAAACCCAATTAAAGGTCTAGAATCAATTCACAATGAACTGAACACTTTTCCCCTGGTTCAGGGCAAACAGGAAGTGTAATCTTCAATCCTAGCTGTGGGTTATCTGGAAAAACAGTGAATTCAAACAGTCACCTAAAATCAAGACACTATTAATCAAAAGTCCTTATTTTGTTCCTGGGAATAAAGCCCCCAACTGCTGAAGCCAAGACCCTCCCCTATTGCAAGCAGACCCCAATGTTACCCCAAACTCTTTACACATGGTCACAGAGGAAATGGATTGCTTTACTTACCCAACAAATGTTCAAGCAACCGTCTCATTTTTCCACAGTTAAGAGAGAACAGGCTGGCAGATTTGGGACTTGATCAAAAAGGAAATTTTTTTTTAAAGTTACATGGTATTATTACACACACACACACACACACACAAACAACACACAACCCAACATCTGAATGTGGAATGCTGTCAGTCACAGACATGCTTTCACTCCCTGTGCACTCTATCACAGGGGGGGAGAGGATGATACAATGTAACAAAAAGGGAAAGGAAAATGAAAACAAGGATAAAAGATACATTAGTTCATTGAAAACCATGCAAGAGTACAAAGCTAAGGGTTTCCAGAGTCCTCACAGATTTATTGCAGGATGTTGTCCAACACCCCCCCATTCCCCCCTCCATCCCCATCCCTACTCCAAAAACTTCCTCCAACGCCTAGAAAACACTTTCAGAGACATTTGCTGGCTGTAGGCTGGCTTGCAGAAGAACTCTGAATTCACCTCAGTCAGGAAAAAAGGCTGAACCAGGTAGTCTCAAGTGCAGACGCCCTGAATGAAAAGACCACATTGCAGACACCGCCACCCACCTAGGCCCCAGCAGCTCCCATCTCGCCTTAGCATACTCTGCTGAGAGCTGGGTTCTCTTAAAAACCTCCATCCTGGCTTGTCAGAACTTAGTCAAGCCTTCCCAGAACCTCTGTGGAGAGGTAAACTTGCCTGCTTTGCTCTGTGCCATGAGCTCTCCTTGGAGAGAAGCCTGCCTCCTCACCTTCCATGTTCTTCCCCCAGCAGGCATGTGGTACAGAGACAATAGTGCAGGGGGAGAAACTGCTCAGAGAGAGAGAGAGGGAGAAAGAGAGGAAAGGAGGGAAAAAAAAAAAAAAAAGGCTGCTCTTTTGGCATACCAGGATCTAGCTTGCAACTGTTCCCAAAACACCTTGCCTTGGTGAGAGGCAAGGTGTGCCAGGCCCTTGCCAGTTTGCAAAATCAAGCTATGGCTAATGGCTACTGAGCCATGTGACCCAAGACAGAAAAAAAAAAAAAAATCTCTCTAAACAGTTCCAAGTTAACCTAAGTGCTCAGGGGGGAGTGTGGCACGGCCAGCCACAGAGAAATCACACTGCTCGCCCACAATTCGGATGTCTCAGAGGGAGGGGGGAAAAAGATGGTTAAAAAGTCGAGCTTACCTCTGTGGATGCATTGTTAACACTGTGTAATGTCAATACTTATAAAACATGGAGGACAGGCTCCTAGTTCTCACACAGAAAAAGGGTTTGGCACTTCGGCTTGATGATCTGGCCGCCTAATAAAAGCTCATCCCCGATTGGCTGCCCCAGCAAATCGGAGTGTAAAGCCGCCCGGGATTGGCTGAAACACTTCCTGAGCGATTATCTTTGTGAGGCTCTGGTGAGCAAGAGCCATCCTGTGCATAGAAAAAGACAGGCTAAGCTAGGCCTTTTGCAGCAAGAAAAACTTGGAAAAGGGGCCCCCAGACGCACTTCTCCCACACCCTGGCTAACTTTCCCGGCACAGGCAAACCAGTGCAGCCAGCCTGACCTGCTCCAGCAAAGCCTCAGGCCCAGATGCCACCGGGAAAGACAGTTTTTGGGGTGAGCTGAAGGACTCACCCTCACCTGCCCCCACAGAAACGGCCCTTTTCGGAGAGGAAGGCTGGTCCTTTTCTAGAACAATCCAGCAGAACGGTTCTCCGAAGGAGAATTAAGCTGGGGTCAGGGGAGCCCCAGGAATCAAGCCAAGAAGGCAAGGAAACAGGGCTTGAGGCAGGCCTCTAAGGAGCTGAGGGCAAACAGACGGGCAAGCCTCAAGAAATCATGAAAAAGCAGCCATGGCTTCTCAGAGGAAAGAGGATTCCGCTGCTGAGAGGAGGAGGGGAAAAGAGGGGTCAAGCTGCACAGTCAATGTCAAAACGCCTCCTGGAAAAAGCAGGCCAGACAGCCATTTTCCCGGGCCGGGAATCTAACATCTCGCCCCCTCAGCCAGTAATGCAAAGGGAAACCAAAATGGGTTCCTGCCTCCCTGCCAAGAGGGGGGCCCCCTCTGCGTCCTTACCCTAAGAAAAGCCAAATGCGCTCCTAGCAGGCCACATGCCTGGTCTACAAACTTCCCTTCCCCTCCTGCTCCCCTCCCCCACCGCTGAGGCCTGCTAAACCTGTCAGTTAAACAAAACTCTGACTTCCGTATTAGTGTGCAATGCCTTCAGCTTCCTGCCTATTAACCCTCTCTCAGACGCCGGGCCCGGCTGGGAAAAACTAGGCCCTAAGATAGCAGAGGAGGCCTGTGGAAAAATACCAGCTGCAGCTCTCCCGGCAGATGCAGAAAGAGAGAGAGTGTGCTGCTGTCTCGTCTTTGCTTCCCAAGGAGGCGTGTACCTTCTGAATCCAGGGCACGGGCAGTGCCTCTCGGTCTGAGAAGCCATTTAAATCCAGGGGGAGAAAGGGAGATGTCAAACTCGGCGAGGGAACAAGAAACCCCATTATGTATCAGGCCTACAGCCTCAGGTTTGCCCTTCCTGGCACAATCACCCCTGTATGTATGTTGTCGGGGGACTGGGCCCTCCGTGGGCAGCCGAATCCCATGAGCTTTATAGGGATTCTTGCTTCCATTTATTCCCACAGACAACGACTTCTTTTCGTCCCCTAAGGCAGATGGAACAGCTATTTCACACATGGCCCCACACTTGGCAGGGCCCCCCCATCTCTGGCACTGCTCCCCAGTAAAATATTAACTATTTTTTCAGAGCTGCTTATAATTTCACCGATTTCAATGGTATTAGAAGGTCTTTGATGGTTTCTTCCCTAAAGCTGCCTTTGTAGCTGGTCTGCAGCCTGAGTAAGAAAAGAAAAATCCAGAAGGATCTAAAAATGCCCACGCTCTCTTTCTTCTTCCTTTTCTTTTTTTTTTTTTTAACGACAAGGTGCTTAACTAAGATTTTTTTAAAAAACAGGAAGCTGGAACAACAGAGGTGACACAGCCATATGCCATGAAGTAAAACTATGGAGCAAAAAAAATGTCTCCTGTCTCCTCCTAAAATTAGCCCTTGTGGGCTTCCTGGCCCCACACCGGTTCCCACAAAGATAAGGAAGCGCTCCGACCCCCCTACATGGACAACAGATGCCCACCTCATGCACATAAAGCCTTGCTAGCTGGGAACCTTAAATCAAGCAGGCTCAGGGAATTCAAACACACGACTACAGGGCAAGGACCAGGCTTTGTGAAAACGGATAGGGTTTTGTTGTTTTTCAGACTACAGAGACCAAGACACAGGGGGGACTACTCCACCACCATGTAGCCTAACAGAGAAAGGTCCAGAATCCTGGACAACACGCCTGGGCCTGCTCTTCCTGGGGGTGGAAACGTGTACAAGGAAATCAAATCAGGTGGCTGGGAGACAGAGGCCATGGCTAATCAGACTGCTCTCGCGCGCACCCTTTCTCGCTCCCCCCCCCCAGCTGTGTGGGCAGCAGTCCTCCACCACCATCCCATATGGGATACTGTTTGTTTCTGCGGGTGTTGCTTTTGGGGGAACAAACTGTGAGATCGTGGCGGATCTCGTGTGCAACTCCAACTCCGATCAGGAAATGAAATCTGTCCCCGGTGCGTGTGGTGGATTTTAACCCAGGGATTAGGGCTTGTTGCATAAGCGACTGCAGCATCGCTCCCCCTCCCCCTCCATCACTTGATCACTTGCAATGTTTTATGGGGCAAAGAGCAGGAAGCCACTGGCTGATTCTGGCCACCTCCCTCAGTTTGAGGAATGCCGGTGGCATTCGCATAGGCTTGAGGTTATCTAGGAAAAGGCAGTTCAGTGGAGATGGAGACAAAGGTGTGGTAGCACATGGAATTCTGGGAGGGTGGGATTGAAAAGACTGCCTGGGGCAGGCCTACCAAGGACCAGTGCTGGGCTTGATGGAATGTGGCTGATAAGCAGAAAGAAAACCCAATATCAGAGGCCTCAGACTAGAGATCCATTCAGTGGCCCTTCTTCAACCAGCACTGCAAGGAGTGATTTCCCAGCAGCTACTGAGCACCTGCCCTGGGCCCAGCTCCCTGCTAAACCAGTCCTCTAACAGTGACTCACACCAGACGATGAGGTAAAGACCATTGTTCCTTAGAGACCAGGCCCAAGAAATGAAGTGAGTTGCCCAAGGTCACACACAGGGCGAGCCAGGCTTCCAACCTATTATGACTCCAAAGCCTTAAACCCTGTGCCTCCTTCGCCCGCCCCACCCCCCAAAGAAAGATATCAGAGAAGCAGAACCAAGCACAGCAGGAATAACAAAGCTAAAATCCACAGAGCAACTGACTTGAGAGCAGGGCTTAAGTGCCGATCAGGTGGAAGTGGAAACCACCTTCACACTGACCGATTTGAAGCCTCTCCTTACAGACTGAGGCCCAGAGAGCTCCCCACTCCTTACAAACCTCCAGGGAGATATCAAGGGGAACAGTTTGCCATCTCTAAAATTAGGCATTTATATTCCCTGATTTCAGGGAATATAAATCAGGGGAGGTTTAGGCCCCAGGGGACATTTGGCAATGTCTGGAGACATTTCTGACTGTCACAACTTGGGGGAGTGGGTAGAGACCAGGAGTGCTGTTACAGCCTGCAATGCGCAGTACAGACGCCCCCCACCCCCCCACATGCACACCCCAGCACAAAGAAGAGTCTAGTCCCAAATGTCAATTGTGCACAGGTTGAGAAACCTTGATTTAAATGAAAGGGAAGGGAGAAAAATCCAACAATTATGCCTCTGGATAAAAAAGCCAGCACAGGCCTAAACAAGCAGGTCTCATAGTGATATTAATAGACAGTGAGCTAATAAAAATAGACTGAACTGTGTCTTCTCTTAATATTCCCGAGACACAGAGAATCGGGGGATAGAGTCAGGCTGTAGAAAGCGGATCACAGTGATAAGCTGGTCTCTAGGGAGAGAACGGCTGGTCCCAGCTCCTTTTTCCCTGGGCACCTTACTAGCCGAGGCCTCACGGAAATGGCTCTCTGGTCCCGCTGGCCTACAGCCAGGGGAGCAGCAGCCGGAGAAGCCTTGGCCAGCTGCATCCCGAGATAGTCTGTTTGCTGGCTATGAAAATAAGCACGCTGGGAGTTATCGGCCTCAAGCTAGCAGCAGGCCTCCCCATCCGTTAGGTGCTGCAAGAGCACTAAGGCAGGGAAGTGTTTTATGTATCTGGTTTTGTTTTGTTCCTTTTTGGAACTGAAGCCAATTTGAGCACGACAGAAGGGCTCACCTTCAGACCCTGGGGTTGACTGTGTCACATTATATCCACAGTGAGGGAATCAAGACTGTGGGCCACCTTGGAGAAGAGGTCCACTCTGAAAGGTTTTTTTTTTTTAAAACTTCTTCCTACAAAGGACTGGAGAGGAGTCCTGGTGGTTAAGTGCTCAGCTACTAACAGAAAGGTTGGTGGTCTGGACCCACCAGCCACTTCCTGGGAGGCAGTGAGGCAGTCTGCTTCTATAAAGATTACAGCTTTGGAAACCCTATGAGGCAGTTCTATTCTGTCCTACCAGGTCGCTATGACTCAGAATTGACTCAATGGCATTGGGTTTAATCTGGGTTTAGGAGGGACTGACTGTAGGATTAGCCTGGTTAAAGCTTTTGTCTGCTAGTCAAAACGTCTGCAGTTCGAACCCACCAGCCGCTCCATGAGAGAAAGATGAGGCAGTCTGCTTCTTTAAGATTTATAGCCTTGGAAACCCTATGGGGCAGTTCCACTCTGTCCTACAGGGTCACTACGAGTCAGAATCAACTTGATGGCAATGGCTTTTTTCAGCTCAACCTAGGCCTCATCTTCTAACACTATACAGACAGTCCTAGGTTACAAATGAGAGTCATTCCTATTAAGTTGAATTTGTGGGTAAATCAGAAAAGGTACGTTCAGTTCTTATTTAGCATCAGTTAGTCAAATGTTTGTCTTAGGATATAGTATATAGTTTACCTTTCTATTCATGTAAAACAAGGAGCTCTGGTGGCATAGTGCCTAAGGCATTTTGACTGCTAACCAGAAGGCTGGCGGTTCAAACCCACCAGCCACTCCTCGGAAGAAAGGTTGGGCAATCTACTTCTGTAGTCATACTGCCTCGGAAACCCAAGGAGGGGTCCCTATGAGTCGGATTCGACTCCATGGCAGTGCTTTTGGTTTGGTTTATTCACATAAAACACTTAAGAAACACTTCCACATACACTAAAACATCTTAAACATAATAACAGTATGTAACAATAAAATAACTACATACAGTACTGTACAAACATCAGTTAGTAATCAGAACCTGGTTTGCTGAAAGTGAAGAGGACTTGATGCACTTTCTGGTGCAGATCAGAGTATGGATTACACCTCAACATAAAGAAAACAAAAATCATTGGATACCAGGGATGGGAGAGGAGG